AATGGGCAAACAGAAAACAAAATTAGCATACCAAATCAGGACTGAGGTTAATAAGTAAAATGTATGCTACAAAATCCTCCTTATTTGCTGGAGAGACTAGCACACTTGGCTCTGAAACATGTGCAATCGGCCACCACCCTTCCTGGAAATCATCTAATCATACAGTCCTGTGTCTTTACCATGTTCACTTCTCCATTTGCACTGTCTCTTTCTTTATCTAGGTCACCAACTTCTACGGCCTGGATGGCTGTGATGCCCTGCTGACTGGTCGGCCCACTCTGCCTTCATACTGTAGCTACAGTGATTTCAAGTCCGATGGTCCCTGACTCCTGCTAAAAACCTTCAAAAGTCTTCCGATGGATCAGCATAAAGTTGAAACTCTATAACGAAGTCCCTCATAATCAGACCTCAGCTGACCTCCCCTACCTCCTCCTCCCATCAGACACCCTACATAAACTTAAAGCTCCTGCAACGTCTCTTCCTCCTTTCATCCCGCTTTCCTACACCTTGTGCTTTAACTAACCTGTGCTGATCCTTCAAGTCTCAGCTTGACATCACTTCTGGAAAATCTTTCTCGATATTTCCTAGACTTAGTTTGAATGTTCCCAGTACAGAGTCCATACAGCAGCTTCTAGAGACTATACCTGGTGCAAAGAATGTACTCAACAAATACTTGCCAAGTGATAAAAGAATGAATGAGTCAACATCTTTAACAATATTCTCAGTGAATACAATGACATACTTCATTAGGCCAGTCTCCTGTAACCCTCAGCAAAATGGAGTAACTCAATAACACATGCATAAATTACTTCCGACTTCACTGACTTGACAGAAGGCAAATACCAATGTGGCACAAGGTTGTGACTTTTGAAGGTCTGGCTTGACTCCCATATAATTTGCTTCATAATACTAATGTCACATGTACCAAAACTCCGGGCAGATGTGAAGGATTTAACGCTCTTCAGAGTAGATATAAAACGTTTTTAAAAGCTGAACATTTATAAAACTTATGAAGTTTACCTCCAGACTTCACCATCATTCCATACCAAGCAGTCATATACCGGGCCAGGATCACTGTATTTTTTTTCAAAAGAATTTAGTAATTCCACTTGACTCTGAAGCTCTTCTTTGATTAGTTTATTTGCCTAACAAATCATAAAATACATTAATATTAGTACACTTTGTGTTTCTGAAAAAATATATCACATACAAACAAAGATAGAATATGACCTGGTAGTATAACCATTTTACTCTGGGAAAAAAATGCAAGAAATTTTTCTTTTTATATCTTTGCAATTCGTAGTTCAACTTAATGAAGCGGACATCAATTAATATATATTTAAAAAATAATACTTCTTTTTACTTGATCTCTCATTCAGACACTTGTTCTACATACCTTGGCAAAGACACTGTGCTGCATGTTGGAGGTATCATTTGGTCAAGACATGTGTTGGTCACATACCTATAAGCTGCATTATAACTAATTTCCAAATGTAACTAAAAATAAAATTGTTGTAAAATACTTCATAGACTTTTAGAATTTTGTATCAGGGCCTTTCCCATTTCAAATCAATTTATTAAGAACCCAAATAAATTACTAAAACCGTGAGTCATCTTATTTCCTTTAGAATCTGCTTAGTTAAATACATATGAGGATTTAACGGGGGTTTAATTTAAAACTTATTTTAGCTCTGTGGTCGTGAACAAGAACAAAGGCTTTAAAACAGATTTATGTACAAACTAAATAACAACTATCACGTGTTACCCTTCTAGAGTCTCTAAAAATGTTAAGTTAGGTATTTGAACCATTTGGTAAACCTTTCAAGAGCATGTCAACTTTACTAAATAATTAGGGAAAAGACAAATTTGAAAGGCTATAAATACTAAGACTGAAATAAATAATAATGCACTAAGCCACTTCAAAGATACACAACCCTGTTTTTAAAAATAAACACTACCTCTAGAATCCCTGTAATTACTGAATTTAGACCTAGAGTACAGGTTGACAAATCATGGTGCAGCGTCCAAATCCAGTCTGTGGCATGGTTTTGTAAATGAAGTTTCCCTGGAACATAGCCACACCCATTTCGTATGTATTATCTGTGGATGCTTTTATGCTACAAGGGTAAAGTTAAATAGTAGTGACAAGACTAATGAAAATATTTGCCGAGAAAGTTAGCCAACCCGATTCTAGAGAATTTAATATTATTTGGAATAAATGTGCTTCAAGTTTTAGTCTGGCTACTGGCTGTGAAATTCTGAGCAAGCTGCTAATTTTCTGAGGCCACCATAAATAGAATAAAAAGTGATTATCTTGTCCAGTGGTTACCAAACTTCACTGTGAATCAGAATCACTCAAAAAGCCATTAAAAAGATAAGATTCCACATCTCACTCCACTTTTTAAATCAGAATATTAGGGGATAAAATCCAGAAATCTAAACTATTTTTCAAAGTTTCCCAGGTAATTTGGAAACAGTCATCAGTATCAGTTCTACAAACTAGCATTTGGGAACCAAGGTATTATTAACATATACTTAAAGAATATATTAGATTAAATCCTATAAAATTGAGGCTATGCAATCATTTCTGATCTACAAAAAATGGCAATGTCATTACATGCCTAATAGTATGTAGAACTACAGAACTACATACTGTATTAAGTTGCTCCACATTCACATGATTAGGCCAAGTGAATAAAAATTTAAGTTTCACATGTTCCAAAAATCTTAAGTTATGCTTCATTTTTATTGATTCCACATCAACTATACTCAATGAAGGAAAAATACAATCATTAGACACTTCTGGTATACAAAATATAATAAAACAGATAATGCAGTCCAGATCTCTCTTTTATAAAGTTAGCCACATATGTGTAGCACCTGAAATACTATATTCAACATGTCTAATAATAAGAGGCTGAAAAGTACAAATATTTATTCTATATAAAATTATACAGCTATTAAAAAAGGATGATATATACATATCAATAAAAGTTAAACTTGTATAATACAAGCCAGCAGTTCTCAATCCTAGCTGCACATTAATTAAAGCTCCTGGAGAGGCTCATAAACTGCCTGCATCCCCTGCAAGGTTTTAATTCATCAGCAGGGCAAAAGCAATGGAGGTTTTAAAAAAGCTCTTCATGTTATTCTAATATGCAGCCAGGGATGAAACCATTAATATAATTCCATTTTGATTAAGAAAAGGTACATTCATGGATCAGAAGAAAAACCAGGAAGGGTAAACACTGAGCTGTATTATCTCTGGGAAGTGGCATTATGGAAGCTTCACTTGCTATGTACGTGTGTTGTCCAAAGTTTCTAAAACTAGCACGTTATTTTCATAATAAACAAGGACATTGTTTTCATTTTACAGACTGATTCAAAAAACAGTTAATGGCAAAGATATAGAAGAATGGAACACTTATATACTTCTTGTGGGAATATGAATTGGTACAACCACTTTGTGACCCAATGAAAGACATGTACAAGAATGTTCAAAATAGCATTATTCATAAGACCCAAAAATGGAACACAAAGCAACTGTCAGCCTGCAGAGTGGATAAACTGTGGTGTTAATACAATGAAATATTACCTTAGCAGTAAGAGTGAACAAACCACTGTAACACTCCACAACATGGATGAATACCACAAATGTCATCTGAACAAAAGAAGCCTGACATAAAAGTATACATACTGATGATTCCACTGTATAAAATTCAAAATAGACAAAATGATTCTGTGGCGTTGTTGCCTTTGGGAAGGAGGAAGGGAGCAATGATGAGGAAGAAGCTCATGGGAGATTTCTAGGGTGGTGCCAATACGGGAGTGTTCATTTCCTGAAAATTCACTAACTAAATGCTGATGATTTATGTACATTCAGGTATGTGCATTACATGTTAAAGTTTTAAAAAGTGATAAATACATATGTAAATTGACATTAGGATAAATAAAGTTAGCAAAATTAACCAATTTTTTAAAAAAGCTTGTGAAACACCAGACTATTAAGTCTCTAAGAACTCTACGGTAATGTTTACATAAAAACGATTAGCACCAACTTGAGAAGAGCTATTGTTGGCAATATCAAACTCTTCCTGTTTTCTACAGGCTTCGGCAAGGGCCGCTCTGTGAATAGGGTCCCAGATTTTTTCCTTCCGTTCTTTCTGCAAAGACAGAAAAATTACCTTACAATTAGGTTGACAATATATTCAGGCAAATCTAGACAGTCATTTATACTGGATCTAGCTATCAGCTGTGATGCTATACGATTTTCACACAGAGGTAAAAAAATATTGTATATACTCAAGTTATCAAGTAATGAATCAATTATTAAAAATTGATTACTTAATTTATTGCGGCCAGGTTTTAGGAGAACAAGTTCACTAAGGCACATCCAAAATGTATTTTTACATAGTCAGAATCGGCTTGATGGCAACTAACAACAATAATGCTCTAATTTAAATCCCCGCTTTCTCCGAAGAATAAATAATACCATGTCAGAAAACTGACTGAATTCCTAGTCATCTAAAGTAAAAGAAAATACTGTATTCTGGGCCTTTACAGAATTCAGAAATGTCTTACACCAAATGCAAGCAGAGGACAGGAGGAAGATGACAAATGCATTTCGATGGACATGCAGGCTTCCTCAATTTCCACTCTCTCTCTAGGTTATCTTTTTTTCCATCCTCTTTGACTTGATAGAAACTGGTCTCTTTACCTGAAATTGTTCTTACTTTCAATTCCAATGTCTTTAACCTATAGTGTCTTCCAATGTAAGTTTGCCAATTAAAGGAATCCTGTCTAGTAAATAATCATCTCCACTGAGCTAAGGGAGGGTTCACTGTAACTCAGCCACTCTCTATTTGCATGTTAATGTGTACCTTATCAACACAGTTGATAAAATTTAATATACTACATAAAAATACTTTAATATCCATGTGTGTTCTGGCCTGAAATTTTAAAACAAAATAGTATCTAATGAAAGTAACATATAGTATTGTTTTCGTAAAATTTTTTTTTGCAAAATGGTTGAAATTTGACAAATAAGGGAAGGTTTTACATACACATACACACACACACATATATATACACACACACATATATATATACACACACACTGAGTAACTTCTTATGGTTCACAGACCCCTGGGGAAGCAAACAACACCGTGATTAGATGAAAGAGCCCATACATCCGACCCAATAAGCTCATTTTCAAGGATTACATTTTGCTTTAACAGTTAAAACCCTGATTTACATGGGCTACCAGTGTAATGGCAATATCCTAAACTGGCACTGTCCCATGCAAGTTAACTTAGCCAAGTTAAGTTTAGTTAAACTTAAATTTTAAAACACTAAATAAAATTAAAATGTCAATTACTCAGTCACACTAGCCACATTTCAAGTTTTCAACAGCTACTTGTGGTTAGTGGCTACCATACTGGATAATGCAGACATAGGACATTTCTACCATCACAGAAAATTTCACTGAACAGTGCTGTTCTAAAGCATGCTCTTTATCACCTGATTTACAATTCTTATTTCTCTAATGACATACTTGTGTTTCCTATACTTCAGCTACTTAGGGTCTCAATAATCCTTTCCTTAATATAGAATGATGACTTCCTGGGATCAGGAAGGCTAGTTAAACTGCAGTAAAAATGGGGTAAACTATCATAGAAACTACAGCAACGGGAACAAAGAAGGAGGACTGGACTTTAAATCAACTGTTTTTAACCCTTTTGGAGTGACAAAATCCTTTAAAAAATCCAGTGAAAACTATATCTCATCTCCCAGAAAAATACAAACACAGAAAAAGTTTGAATATAATCTCAGTGGATTCACAGATTTCCTAAACCTATCCATGCATCCATGGTTAAGAACCACTACTTTAAATGGATAACATTCCACTGAGCAGAATCTTCCTTTAAATGGTCACTGCTACTTGAAAGGTCCACAAACAATTAAGTGTTAAGAGATTTTGTCCGAGTCAGAACAGACTCAATGGCACCCAACCACAACAGTCATAAAATCTGAAGAAGGTATACAAGTCATTGATAAGTTGTACATTACCTGTATCCTTTCCTTGAGAGCCTTTGGATAGAAGTCATAGCCATTTTTTATGCCAATATGATATTTGCCTGAGGGATTTGTCCAGCTTGCAGGAATCTACAGAAAAAAAGTAAATTGTTCACTTACTAAACGCTCTGCAATTATAATGACAGACTACTGGGAAAAGTACCTGACTTTAATGGTTCAACTTGGATGAGCAGGCTCACAGACCAGAGCAGTTATTTTTAGTATTCCAAGTAGTCATTTAATATCTCTATGGCCTCTTTTTTCTCTTTTTTCACATCCCTACATAAGATGGTTTGACTAGAATATTATCTTTCATTTATAGAATGCCTTGTGGTTTATAAAGTGCTTTCAACACATGCTACCTCATTAAATCACTAAGATCTTTAGGTCTTAAGCATCAACAAGTCCTCATCTTCCCCTTCACCACTCCACTGCCTTTCAACGACGAGAGGAAGGAATTCATTTACAGAACCTCTCTACACTTAGATTTCCTGTTCAGGAAAAGAACTTCACTCTCCTTTATAACACAACAGGAAGAATGCATAGTTACTAAATAAAAAAGCTCTTTGAATTCTTAAGAAAAAAGCTCTATAAAATGTTTATTAAATATAACATATATAGTCTTTTCAACTAACTCAAAGTGCTTCAAAATGACACCCAAAGCTTTTAATTAACAGAATGATGTAAAGAGTATAAATAGTTTACAAATGGAGAAAGCAAAGAGGCAAAAAGTAATTAAATTGTTTGCCCAAAAAACAGAAAGGTTGAAAACAGGAATCCAATTCTTCAATGGAGACTATAAAATTCAGTGCATATGGGCTTTAAAAACAGACATGGGCTGTGAATAGAATTCTATGACCAACTAGGTGGAACTCATAGGCTTCTGCTTCCTCATCTGTAGTAAGAAGAAAATAACCTCTACTTTTAATGATTCCTATGGATAATAAAACGCATTAAGTATCAGTCAACTTGAAATGTCAATCAAGAAAATGTGAGTATGCATATTCTTCGCAATCACAGGATCCATGATCATCAAAAACATAGTAATATCCATAATATAATAAAAATAACCTAATAGACAATTAATATTTAATTATAAGGCCAAAATCTGCAGGGTCCATGAAACTAGAAACTTTTCAAATCGCTACGATGTATTTTCCTTACAGTGAAGGCAGACTATTTAGTTACGAAAATTACACTAAAAATTTCAGGAAATTAAAGTTATAACCATGGTTATGCTGCCTATTTTTAACTAAGTTACAGTAAACAATGTAGATGAGGCAACTATGGACTGTATGCTATTTTATGTATTTGAGTATTCTACAGTCTCTTTAGGACAAAGACTTTTGTTGAATTGGAATATGTTTTGTTGTGTATATTTTAACTAAAAAAAAAAGAATAAAGCTTTAAATTTTGACTATTTTAAATTCCTGTCTTTAAAATGGTCTTAATTACATGGTAACTATAATGTAATAAAGCTGATTTTCATGATATACAGAATCTCTTTAATTACTTTCTAACTATATCTCATTTCTCTGACTCAATTAAAGAGAAGATGCCTAACATAAAGGAATATTTTTCTTAATATGCCAGTCAATGTTATTGTTCCGTGCAGCTCTTTTCTTTTCGTCTGCATTTCACAATTGGCAGCCTCATGGTACTGCTGGTGAACAAGCACAACATTTCCTCTGGCTATCACTGCACTTAAATAGTGTGTTAAGTCTGTCCCAATTATTAATTATGTGTAAATTTACCTTTTTTTTTAACTATGTAAGATTAAATTTTGATGATTTAAAAAATGACTTCAAGTTGAATGCAATAAAGTGAAAAAAGCACTGTGTGCTTCCTTCTAAAATGCCACTAAAATTGCAACAAGGAAAAAAAATCCAAAAGGACAAAGAGAATGGGAAATAAGACTAAAGAAGTCAAAAGTTACATTTTACAAGACACTAAAATTAGTGGAGAGATTATGGCATTTTAATACATGGTATTGGAACAATTGGGTCTTCAATACAGATAAAAGCAAACAGGACTCTATTTCAAAGTAAGCATAAAATCAATTTCACGTAAATTCTAGAAGAAGTATGAGGACCAAAATGTGAAACTTTTTAAAAAGTAATACAGGAGAATATCTTCATGATACTGAGAGCAAGAAGGATTTAAGAAAGACATAAAAAAATCTAATGAAAGAGGCAAAATTGCAATTCAACTACATTAAAATTGAGAACTATTCATCAAAAGACATCATATGGAGAGTGAAATATAGAATTTGAAGTATTGAATGGGAGAAGACACCTGTAATACATACTGCATGTTACCAGGACTAGTCTACAGATTAAAGAACTCCTACAAATCAGTAAGGTAACAACAGACAACTCGGTAGGAAAAAAAAAAAAAGGCAAATAAACCTGAACAGGCATGTCACAAAAATAAAATCCAAATGGCTGAACAACATATGAAAAGGTGCTCAATTTCATTAGTAATTAGAGAAATGCAAATTAAACCACAATAAGATATCTCCAGATTTTCAGCAAATTAGAAAAAATTAAAAGGTCTGAAAATAAAGTGTTAGCAGGGTAGTACAACTATTCAAATTGTATAAACACTGCTATGTATTTTAGTACTAACACTCTGAAAAATAGTCTATTATTACCTAAAAAGTTGTACATCCATGAATCAGCATTTTCACTCCTAAGTACAATACCCTGGACACATCTATACACATGTGCACAGAACATATGTACTAGAATGTTCTCTGAAGAACTGTTGTCAATAGTCCCAAACTGGAAACAACTCAATGGTACATAAGCAGAATGGATGAAGCATGGTATATACATAACACAGCATACTATACAATAATGAAATTGAACACATTATTGCTACATGCAATAACATGGATGAATCTCACGGAGCTAACAAACAACACTGAGTGGAAGGCCCAAGGTGACACCTAAATGAGGTCATTATCGTACAAAGGTTAAAAATAGGCAGAAGTAAACAATATATTTTATGTCTCTGTATAGAGATGGTAAAACTATAAACGAAAGCAAAGAAATGATTATCACAAAAGTCAATCTAGTCTTCTGCTCTGGAGGAACACACAAGGCTTCTGAGGTATGGCAATATTCCTTGATCGGTGTGGGGCATACAATGGTGTTCATGTTACTTATTTGTTAAACTGTACATGTGTTTTATACACTTTCCTTCATGTATGTATATTTCACAAAAAAAGATTTTACACTTCTGTTCCTTCTACCTGCTCGTGTTGTTGTTGTTAGGTGCCGCTGAGGCGCTTCCGACTCAAAGCAAAACCTATGTACAACAGAATGAAACACTGCCTGGTCCTGTGCCATCCTCACAATCACTGTAATGCTTGAGCCCACAATTGCAGCCACTGTCAATCCATCTTGTTGAGGGTCTTCCTCTCTTTCACTAACCATGATGTCCTTCTCCAGGGACTGGTGCCTCCTGATAGCATATCCAATGTACATGAGACAAAGTCCCACCATCCTCACTTCCAAGGAGCACTCTGACTGTAGTTCTTCCAGGCGAGATGTATTCGTTCTTCCGGCTGTCCATGCATATTCAGTGTTCTTCACCATATCCGCGCACAGGAGTAACCTAACTAATTGACTACTAGTCTCTCAAGAAGGCCTAGGAATAACTCCCTTACAGAAGGAGCCTACTGGAGCATTCAAAGCACCTCACTGGTAGATGATCTAAAACTAGGAGATTTAGACATTAACCATTAGCAGTTTCTGTGATATTTGGAAAATGCAGAAATAGAATATAAACATTTAATTTATTTTAGCATGACTAAGTCTAAGAAACTTGAAGACTTCACTGGGTCACTTTCTGAAAATTGTGTACTAAAGGATCTGGATATTCAATTAGCCAGAATCACAGTGATCAATAACTTTTTAATGACTACTACAAAATATCTGAACACATACACATCCTTGAAAACAATCAAACTGAAAATGTGCGTGGGTATATATTCTGTATATGAATGAAGAGGGGAGCTGTAAAGAGGACAACGGGATGAAGGTTTATATAAGCAGCAGTTAGACCCCTGCCTCCCCAACATCCTGCCCAAACCTGCCCAACCAAGCAACTGTCCCTTAAGCCGGAGAGAAGTTGGGATATCAACTCTCTGCAGAGGTTTGCGCAGCAGAGGAGAGAGATGATACGTACTGAAAAGAGTCTGCATGAAACCACACCAGGCACCTGAATGCCGAAAGCCAGGCTTATTTCCCACTCTTCTCCTAAATCCCAGGCCAAACCTGCTAAGGTCCTCTCTGAGGTAACTGAGCATCCTGATAGAAAAAATACAGCATATACTAATGGTTTGGAATCCCCAAAAAGAAACTGCTGTATTAATACCCTACAGTGAAGCACACCACTGCACAACCCTGTACAAGTGGAAAGAGCTTCCAATCACCTTTTTGTGCCTTACTTAACAAGAGACAGTCAGTCAGGGATGACTCGATACCTGAAGACAACCTCTGTAAAAAAAAAACACAGAACACGGGATGAAAAGAGGCGGCGGCAGAGGAGAAGACAGGAAGAAAGAGGAGGGGAAGTGAGAGCAGGAGATGAGGAAGAAGCACAAGAGACAGAGGAAGGAGAAGAGGAAGAAAAGGTAAGTAAAAAGAAGGGAAGAAGAGGAAGAAACAAAAAATGAAAGGAACTGGAGAAAAAAATTGAGATGATAACTAAGAATCTCACAGATACAATGTTGCATACATGAAACAGAATACGCTATCAGTGAACATGAAGGGGTTTCTGCAATAAAAATAAGAGGCAAAATTTTTTAAAAATCACTACAAAGGTTAGAAGATAATGTTGAGGAAATCAAAAAGGCAGTGAAGAAAAGGCGGGAAAACATAAGAAAACTGGAGGATCAATTCAAGAGGTCCAATCTCTAATTAACAGGAATTCCAGGTAAAAGAACAACAAAAACAGTGGGGACAGAATTATCCAAGAGACAATGCAAGAAAAGTCAGAAATAAAGGACCTGAGAGCTGAATTCTCTTTTCCCACAGTATTAATTAACAGATAAAGTGTGAAACTAGAAAAAATTCAGGAAATAACAACTACAAGCATGTTATTGAAATTTTTGAATTTAATATAACATAGACTTAATCTTAGTTGAATGTGAATTGGGAGTGAAGAGGGAAGAGGGCAGCAAGGGACTTAACTTTTCTTGTTAGAAGCCTTATAAGAGTATTCGCCTTTTCAAACTATGAAGACATAATGAATAAAATTTAAAATTAAAAAGGTCCACCATACTGATGGGCTTAAAAGTAGAGCTAAAGAAAGATGTCACCAATATGAGAAAAGATAAAAAGTATCAATCTCTCAATTTTCTGACCTTATTTATATATATGTATAAAATATATAATTCTACCATTAAGCACTAGTCATATTATTAGTTCATTTCAGTTATCTAAACATGAGTTACTACAGCTACTTAAAAATAAACAACTACAGAGGTGTTGAGAATAATATTTTACATGGTTCTAAGTCCGTCTGATGGAGCCCTGGTGGCGCAGTGGTTAAGAGCTCAGCTGCTAATCAAAAGTTGGCAGTTCAAATTCACCAGCCGCTCCTTGGAAACCCTATAACGCAGTTCTACTCTGTCCTGTGGGGTCACTATGAGCCGGAATTGACTTGATGGCAACGGGTTTTATTTTATTTTACTTTTTTTTTGGTTTAAATCTGTCTGACTTACTAGGAATGCTCTCCAGTTTCCTAGAGGAACATAACCCACAGGAATTTTAAGTTTTTCTGAAACATACTCTAAGTAAAAATGTTGACTAAGGGAAGACAGGCAAAAATGTAGAGTATAATTCACATATAAAAAACTAATTTCCTGCAAAATACAATCTTTTTAAAAAGCACAGGAAAAAGGAAGCAGTCTGTCATGGAAGGCAAAACTTTAAGATGACCAACGACCCGTGTCAAGTTCCCTCACCTTTAGTGTAAGCAGGACTTGGGAATACGATGGAATTATCATTCCAGTGATTACGTTGTGTTACATGGCAAAGGTGAAGAGATTTTGCAGACGCAGTTAAGGTACTTAAACAGTTGACTCTGAGTTAATCAAAAGAGACTATCCCTGGGAGGTCTGACCTAATCAGGTGTGCCCTTTAAAAATGGGACTGGGGCCATGTGCCTGAGGTTACAGATTCTCCTGCTAGCCTTGAAGAAGCAAGATGTCCTGAGTTCCATAACTATAAGAAAAGGAATTTTGTCAACAGTCATATGAGCTTGAAAGAGGATCCCATGCCTCAGATGAGACCACAGTCCAGGCCAACATCTTGATTGCAGTCTTGTAAGACCTAGAGCAGAGGATGTAGGTGAGCTGTGCCGGCACTCCAGATCCATAGAAACAATGATAATAGGTGTATGTTGTTTTAAGCTGCTAAGTTCATGGCAATTTGTTACACAGTACAGGAAACTAATATACTGCTGAAAAAATCTTATCCGAAAGCCAATGCCTAAATCGAAATTCAAATATATAGTCCAAGGTGGGAAGAATTAAGTATAGCTTTTTAGGATGTCTAAATAATCACAATTTTGTATTCCAAACTAATTCTGTTTTAAAGGGTAGATGCTGATTAAAGTCAAGTTTTTGCCATTCTTGAAACTGATAAGCTAATGAACTGCTTTATGTTTGTTTTATAACCATTTTTTTCATATTTGCTTACTCAAGCCTTTCTACCAACAGCATGGAATAAGATACAGCCAGTCATTTGAGTCCGTAGCTATTATAGCCTCAGTATTTCTTCATATTCAAGTTCACAGGAAAAATTACACGACAGGAAATCATGAGGGCAAAACTATCATCTGGCCAACTTTCCCCAACTTTCTATTCAAAACTTAAAACAGAATTTGGTAACCACATTAAAAAAATAGTCCAACAACAATAAAAAAAAAAAAAGTCCAATTCTAAGCTCCTCATCGAAAAAGTAAATAATGGCTCCTCCTGAAATGACTCCTAAAAATCCATTCCCCCTGGTATTTATGCTTTTGTGAAATCTCCTTCCCTTAAATGTGTGCTGGACTTATTAACCACTTCTAACGAATATAGTATTACAGAAGTGATGTGATGTCACGTCCAAGATTACTTTTTATAAAAGGACCATGGCATCCATCTTGGGCACTCTCTCTTGGATGACTCACCCTGAGGGAAGATGGCTGTCATGCTATAAAGCAGCCTGTGGAAAGGCCTATATGGCAAGACCCAAGGCCTGCCAATAAGCACTTGAGTGAACTTGGAAATGGGCTCCCCTTCCCCACTCAAGGTGAGCCTACAGATGAAACTGCAGCCCTGGCCAAGTGTTTGCAACCTCATGAGAGATCTTAACCAGAGGAACCCAGCTTAAGTCACATCCAGATTCCTGACTCACTGCAACTGTGAGATAATAACTGTTTATTGTTTTAAACCATCAAGTTTCGGGTAATTTGTTATGCAGCAATAGGTAACAAATTTAAGCCAAAAACATTAAATGCTCTGAGGCAACAGTACAAGAAGGAAAATGCAATGAGAATAGCTCTAACCTTAAGCGCTCTTCCTGAAAGGCCAATAATCTCACCATCTTTTGGCTCTACCACCGTAGCAGTATTCACGTCACCACTTCCTGTTGTGTCAATGATATCAATGATTTTTGGTTTTCCATCAGTTGTAACCTGAAAATTAAGAGACAATTATAATATGAATTACAGATTTCAATTGTTTATCCTTAAAAAAGCAATGCTAACCCATATATAACACAGGCTCAAACATGGCAACGATGGTGAGGATGGCGCAGCACGGGGCAGTGTTTCATCCTATTGTACACAGGGTCACTGTGAGTAGGAACTGACTCGACGGCACCTAATAACAAAAAAACTATCTATATACACATATATAAAGTTGTTGTCAGTTGCCGATGAGTCTATTTTGACTCATGGTGAACGCATGTGTCCGGAGTAGAACTGCTCCACAAGGTTTTCAAGGCTTTTGAAAGCAGATCATCAGGCCTGTCTTCCAAGGCACCGCTGGGTAGGTTTGAACTGCCAACCTTTCAGCTAGTAGTCGAGTGCTAATATAGTCATCAAAACACCACAGAATCCTTCAAGTGGTTTGACATATTCATTTAACGAATATTTCCTGAGCATTTACTATAGACCACACTCTGTTTTAGGTATTCGGGACACAGGAGTGGTCAACACACAAAAACCCCTGATTTCACCAATACCACATTATAGTGAATAAATAGTAAACAAATAAATAAAATATACAAGATTCAGATAGTGATAATTACTAGGGAGAAAAATTAAGTAGGGAAGAGAGACAGGTAGTATAAGGCTTTCCGTTTTAACTAGGCTCGTCAAGAAAGGCCTCACTATGAAAAAGTTAACATTTGAGCAAAAACCCAGAGAAGGTGAACTTTGGGCTGGACAAGGCCAAAACTTTAAGGAAAAAAAAAAAAGGTTTAATCACATTTCATTATTGGAAGACACACAACAAATCCAAAGTTCAAAGTTAACATGCTCCCTCAAACCTGTTTCTCTCCAGGTTTTGACAACTCAGACATCACCACTACCACATACCCAGTTGCTCAAGCCAGAAACTTAAAAGTCCCTCTCTGCTTCTTTACCCTACCTTACTCCTCACATCAAATCTGTCAGGAAGTCCTGTTAATTCTTCCTCCAAAATATAACTCAAATCCATCTTTCTTCTATTTCTACTACCACTATCCTAATCCTCCAATCCATGGTCATCTCCTTACATACCTCCCAGCTTTCATTCTTGGCCTCCACCGAAAGTAATCTTAAATTGTATTATGCCATTCTCCTTAAAACCCTTCAATGGATTCACAGAGCACCCAGAATATAAAAAGCTCCCTAAGTTATGGCCACTCCCCGTGACTCACAACTCTAACCACACTGACAAGGCAAACTTTTTTGCACAGGGGTCTTTCTGTCTGGCATTCTCTAGCCCTTCTGATGTGCCACAGGGATTCCATCTCACCGTTCAGTTTTCTAGTATAACGTCATCCCTCTCAGAAAGGCCTCCCTTTCTGAGACGTAAAGTATTCGCCATTCTAAGCCTGATTATTTCTCACTGTACCTTGTATGTTTCCTTCACAGAACTTAACTCAATATGTAGTTACGTAGTTATATGATTCCTTATCCATTTCTTCTGTTAGAATATAAGCTCTGCTATGGGCAAAGTATAGGGTCACCATGAGTTGGAACTGACTCGACGCCAATGGGTTTGGTTTCTGGTTTGGAAGGGCAAGGGAAGCCCTGGTGGTGCAATGGTCAAGAGCTCAGCTGTGAACCAAAAGGTCAGCCGCTCAAATCCACCAGCCACTCCTTGGAAACCCTGTGGGGCAGCAGCTCTACTCTGTCCTATAGGGTAGCTATGAGTCAGAATCTAGTTGACGGCAGCGGGTTTGGTTTTTTGGTTTTAGTGTGTGTACTCAATACTTAGCAGTGTCTATTAGGAACATAATAAACATTATTGAATGATCTGACATCAATTACTTAGCATTAAGACTGATTTTCCTAAGGTATGGCTTCTTGGCCAGCCTACAAATGGCCATTTGAGCCATAATATGAGTAGTATAGGTAACAGTAGTACCATTTTTCACACTGCTCTTGTGGGCTCTTTCTGGGCTAGCTTTGCAAAGGAAATTTATGCTTTCAAAGATGACTGAAAAAAGAAGACCCCTGCCCTCAAGAAAGAAACAGGAATGTAAAAAATGCCAATAATGTGACAAGAGTACAAAGCCTTCGGGCCTTTCTCCATAGGGGAAATTCACACTTTCCTGTCCAAAACGACATCTTTCCTCTGCAGTATCCTGAAAGCTCTGTAATTAAGGTATACCCTAAAGACCGAGAGGAGAATTCACTACATGGAGGAAACAAAGGCACACGTTTTTTCTGTATAAGGAAAAGCAAGAAGGTGGCTGGTGGCCCCCAAACTTTACTCCAACCATGTTGCAATAGAGTAATCACGGGCCATACAGGTCTTCCACGCACAGCTGTTATTTTTAAGTATGGTGATTTCTATGCTGGATGTTCATTTCTTAAGAGTTTATTCTAGTAACAAATAAGCATTCTACACTTCAAAATCATAATTAGAGAAAAAAAAACACAGTGGAAATCATATCAAGCCCTGATAAGATTATAATAAAATTTAAACTAGATATTGATTTTGAAGGGATGGGCTAGGTATTTTAAAATCAAATAAACATAATGAAGGTAAATGTAAAAAAACCTACCAAAATAATAGTGGAAACAGACAATTAAGAGGAAGTTTACACCACCTCCCCTACAAAATTAAAGCTAGCTAGATCATGTACAAAGAATACAAGACAATAATCTATTTTAAAATGCATTCCCAAATCCCCATATAATTTGAAGCATACAGTAAGCACTAAGAACACAAGTCACCTATCTTCTCCAACTTCTCATTCAATGAGCAAACATCTTGAGTGACTGGAGATCAAGGATAACAAGAGATGACTAACAAGTCAGACACCAATCTCTCTAATTAGAAATCTCACCATCAGTATGTGAGGCAAAGGAAAAGGCCCAATGGGATTTAGTGGCTTATTTACCATCTACTATTTCCAAACTTCAAGGATTCTCTCTGTCTCTTATTAGTCTCACTAAATTTTTTATTACATTTCTTCCTTTAAATAAATTCTTCATATAAAATTATAATTTCTTATATATGCAATTATGCAGCTATGTCTTTTTTTACTTTACCATTAAGTAAAAGAAACTACTCCATTGGAGATAATAAGACAAAAGAAGGGATTTTGGGGTTCAGAAGAAGGGAATTTTTTTTAAAAAAAGGCAAACAGCTAAGAATCTTTCAGTGGAAGTCTGGGAGAAGTAAACAAACGAGGTAACTGAACTGCTAACACTAGAACCATATCCCTCATCTTCGAGGCGGGCGAGGTGTGAGCTGGGAGAGACTGCAAGTGAAGGCAGTTATTAAGGGGAGAGCTAAGGTAATAAACCTCTGTGTACTGGGGCAGGAGACTGAGAAATACTTACTGGGCTATGCTGGCTGGATAAAACAGAAACTGCTCAAAGCTTTTCCCAAAATGCCAAGAATCCCAGTTACTGTGTATCTTCACCGAAACAAGTATGGTGGAGGTGGTGAGGGTAGGTGAGCCACTCACTAAACATTTGTAGAGAGGACCAGAACAAAAGAGGGGGAGTATGCAAACTATCTGCAACAAAACAACACTAGTTTATTCAGTTGTTGTTAGGTGCTGTCGAATCAACTCTGACTCATAGTGACCCTGTGTGACAGAGGAGAACCGCCCCACAGGGTTTTCTAGGCTGTAATCTTTACTGGAGCAGGTCTTTCTCTCACGGAGCACCGGGTAGGTTCAAACCACCAACTTTCTGGTTAGCAGACGAGCGCTTAACCCTTGTGCCATTAGGGCTCCTTGAATTTACAGGTTTTTAATTAAAATTCTAGGGAAGGAAGATGCTGAAAATGTTCTTATAAGCAACGGAAGGTATTTCATAAACAAATACTACTAAACCGCTATTATTCTGAGAACTAATGATGAATAAGACAATTTCTGCTTTCAGAAAACTTACAATCCAGTTGGGAAGGTACATGAGTAGAGAGACAATTACAATATAAGACAATAAACAACAGAGCTAAGGACAGTCTCTACGAAAACATTTAAGAATACCTAGCTTGGGAGTATTACGGAAGGCTAACTGAAAAAAGAGGTAATAAAACCTAAAATTAGTTGCACTGTACCCAGTATTAGTAACCTAGAATATATATCCCTATGTAGAGAGAACTATAAAACTGATAATTTACTTACTGTATGCTATTATATTTTAGTGAATCTAAAATAGAAAAAATTTTATAGGATTACTTGTAACCTCTTTCCCTAAGCCTTTTTCCCCCAGGAGGAAATTGTATATATTTTACAAATACATTTTTTTCCATTCCAAAAAAAAAAAAAACTTAATGTTACAAGCACGTTTCATACAAAATGAATTAGGATATATGCTTTCAAAAATGTTTAACTTAACCATGAAAAAGGTACGTAAACAAAAATACTAAAATGCAGTATTTTAAGTGCTATTGGGGGATTTGAACAAACTGCTATGACAGCAAAGAACTGTGTGTGTGCGCGGGTCGGGGGGGGGGGGACCTAAGCTCTGTTAACAGGGAATTGAGCCTTAGTCATCTTTGAACCCTCAGGCCCTAGCACAATGCCTGGCACATATACATAAATATACGGTGGGAAGCTGAATTAGATCAGTTGATAACCCCAAAATGTAATGAGGTCAAGACCCAGCTGGGTGTTGAAGGATTAAGCAGGAGTTTTACAGGTGATTGTAAATCAGATTAAACACCACAAGCAAAGATATGTGCTGGAAAGACCTGAAACATCTGGGCAACTGGAAGAGAGGGAAATGTTCACTGTGCCAGCACAGGGTAAAGGGTAGGGGGTGGGACAGATACGGATAGAAGAAAAGGTGAGAACTGAGTCTACACGAGGCTACAGATGGACGGTAAAAGGCCTTATATACAAAAAGTTGAAATTTTTGTGCACAAGCAATTGGGATCCCAGAAGATATTTGCTTTTGATTTAAACAAGGTTGTAATACAAGTTATGTGTTTTGTTTTTTTTTAAGAAAAATAACTTTGGCAATGTGAAGGATGGCTCAAAGAGAAGAAAGACTGGTGGCAGGGAGACCAGCTGGATATTTCATACATATCTCTAGGTCCAGTCCAAGACCCACGTAGTCCTGACTGATCCAGCTCTCAAGGGCCCCTCCCTTTCAATCTCTGTAGCAACTACAGTTTGCAGGACTACATCATTTAACACCATGTTAGGCATCTTTCAAAGGGACTTGAGTATTTTCTGAGGAAATATTTAATTACTTGTATAATTATTACTTTCCTCATGCCATCTACCTTCCTTTCAACGCGCCCAGTCAGCTGTCACAAAAGAGGACTGGGCCCAAAAAGGTCACCAAAAAATGAGACACCTCACTGTGTCCCTGAAAGTTTTCACTTGCGCCTGTACTCCTTACTCATACCCCATGTCTTTCCAAATGTCCATTTCGGCCTCCTCTTCCTCTTATTTCATTCCTTCCCTCTTTATTTCTATCCATCTTACCTTAATGATATATACATAAACCTACAAAATAAATTTGCTAAAGGTAAAGAAAATAATCTTAAAAATTCACCTATTTACAAGCACCTTATTGAATTTCTTTTAATTGGTCATGTTTAGGTAAGTATCTAAAAGTTAGAGTTCTCAGAAGAGTTATGTTTTCATTTGATTTAAATATTTCACTGCTCAAGCATTTATGTTAATCTATACAAATATATAATATACATTTAACCTTTGGAAAATGGGTGATTAAGGACCCAGTACAAACTCCTACTAAATATCACTGCTTAAAAAATTAATTTGACATTTTTCTTGAGTACTTTAAGAAGTCACATAATTAATCCTTTCTTGCAACTAATTTTCATACCAAACCTGTAGAGTGAGAAATATTGTTACTTTACCAGGAGTAACAGAATAATTTGATACGCAGATCTGGGAAATTTTACCAAAGAACTTCTACTAAGACAGTACTTCTCTAAACTTTTCAGACCCTCTTATTATACTGAACAAGGAACCAGTGAACCACTTATCCAGCTCCCACTTATCC